CTTGAAATACTGATATAAATTAGATTTTGCACTAGTTGTCAATATGTTTTAGCTTTTCCACTCACTATAAGGAGGACATGTCTAGCTAGTCATGAAATACAGGAGATTCTACACACACAGCTTATACCAAAATGTATTTATGCAGACACTACATGTTTAGTTTGGTTTGTTTTATTGTTAGCTGTTTTATAAACCAGAGAAAAGTTACGGAGGGTTTACCATGGATGGACAGGGGGTCAGTACGATCATAAGTAATATATTCGAGATATGTAAAAGGAGTTTTAATTCAAGGAAAAAGTATTTTCTTGCTCTTTTCTCCTTTCCTAGACCATACAATTGCAGAGATGTGTTTTCTGTGTGAAAAGTGATGCTGAAATGCATTTGCTGCTAATGTCTAGTCATTTATACGAAATTAAAATTATGAAGAAACCTGCTTCTGCTATTAACATGACACAAAACTGAAATGAACTGCTTAAAATGTTAAAATAAAAAATGTTGTGATAAAATTTCTGCTGGCTGATTAGAAACTAACATTCTCCTTTAAACTATATTGACTCAAAATTATGAGACTGATGGCTAGTTCTTGCTCAGAACAGTATGATGGACAACTGATATCTCTTTCAATAAGAACATAAGAACGACCATACTGGGTCAGACCAAAGGTCCATCTAGCCCAGTATCCTGTCTTCCAACAATGGCCAATGCCAGGTGCCCCAGAGGGAATGAACAGAACAGGTAATCATCAAGTGATCCATCCCGTCGCCCATTCCCAGCTTCTGGCAAACAAAGGCTAGGGACATTATCCCTGTCCATCCTGGCTAATTGCCATTGATGGACATAAAAGTTACTCTCAATAAAAGTTACTCTCTTCAAATTAAATGAAGTAATTATTTCTGACTAAACACTGGTAACTCTTGTTTAGGGTTTTACAAAAATATTTTAGTCACTTACTTAGGGTTACCATACGTCCGGATTTTCCCGGACATGTCCGGCTTTTGGGGCCTCAAATCCCCGTCCGGGAGGAAATCCCAAAAAGCCGGACATGTCCGGGAAAATAGGGAGGGAGGAGTCGTGGGGCTTGGGTCCGGGCCGGAGCCCCTGGGGCCGGCGGTGCTCGGCTGGGGGCCGGAGCCGCTGGGGCCGGCGGTGCTCGGTTGGGGGCTGGTGGTGCTCGGCCGGGGGCCGGAGCCGCTGTGGCCGGTGGTGCTTAGTCGGGGGCCAGCGGTGCTCGGCTGGGAGCCGGGGCCACCGGGGCCAGGGCGGGCCGGAACCAGGGCCAGCACCCCAGAGCCCGAGCCGAGCTGGGCAGGAGACGCCGGGGCCAGAGCCTCTTGGCCTGGGCCGGCCGGACGCCAGAGGGAGCCCCGCCCCAGCCTACCTGCTGCCTCCCTGTTTCAGGCTTCCTGCAAACATTTGATTTGCGGGAAGCAGGGGAGGGGGAGGAGCGGGGGGGGCGGAGCGTTCAGGGGAGGGGGCAGAGTTGGGGGGGGGACTTTGGGGAAGGGACAGGGAAGGGGAAGGGGCGGAGTTGGGGCAGGGCCGGAGTGTCCTCCTTTTTTTAAATTAAAATATGGTAACCCTAACTTACTAAGCTGACTGATTAATCAGTCAAACTCACAATTTGTATTGTTTTGTATCCCACTAATTTAAGACAGGGCCGCCCAGAGGGGGGGGGGGGGCAAGTGGGGCAATTTGCCCCAGGACCCGCTGGGGCCCCCACGAGTATGTCAGAGGCTCCCCCCGCCTCCGTCTTCCCACATCCCCCAGCGTCTAAGCTGGTAAGCGGGCGGGGCTGTGAGCTGCGGCTGAGCAGCAGGAACTCAGGCCCCGCTGGAGACATCACGCCGCTGCAGCGCTGGACGCACCGTGCTGAGGCTCCGGGAGAGGGGGTAAGCGGCATGGTAAGGGGCCGGGGCCAGGCACTCCCCCGACCCCATCCCCCACAGCCCTGACCCCCAGCTCTGAGCCCAGCTCCTCTGAGCCGGACACCCCCCTGACCCCATCTCCCCACAGCCCTGAGCCCAGCCCCTGTGAGCCGGGCACCCCCCAACCCAGAGCCCAGCTCCCCACCCAGCCCTGGGCAACAGCAGCACCACCCCCAGGCAGCGACAGCCCATTGGCACCAACCATCACCCAGCAACAGCCCATTATGTAATTGCAAATGTATACATACCATTAAAGCATTTAATGTTTTTAAATAATGTATTTAGTGTATTTTCAAATTATTACAAATTCATTTTTGAATGTATTTCACTAGTTATTTTTTACATTTCCAAATACATGTTACTATAGTATTGCAACTTTTTTTTATGGAAGGGGCCCCCGAAATTGCTTTGCCCCAGGCCTCCTGAATCCTCTGGGCAGCCCTGATTTAAGGAGGAAAAAACAACAAATCAAATTTTCAGTAATACTAAAACGTATACTAATGGAGCCAAAGTAAAGAATGTTTAAACCTAAAAAAATTCACTTGAATTTGAGGCCTAGTCTCAGAAAAGCATCTAAGCACATGCTTAAACACATCCCTATTCAGAAAGGAACCTCAATAAAGGTTGTTCTTAAACTCCATTGACTAAGTCTAACTCATTGTGCCAATCCCAGCAAAACTGATTGGGGTCTTTGGGTGCTACCATAAAATAAATATTTTCTAAAGTACTATTAATAGTAACAATACTAATATTTTGGGACAAATGGACTGTCTGTACTAACAAATTCAGTGCTCACTCTTCTGCATCAAAACCACTGTCTCAGCGCTAGCATGGGTCTAAGTGCTATTGTAAACAGGACTCATGAATTTTCAGCACTGTCACAAAACCTTGCTCTGAGCAGCAGTGAAGACTTGGTGTCGAAAAGACATCAAATTTGCAACTGTAGACACAGCCTGTGAGCCTGTCATATTGGTGCAAGCTTCTAAAATGTTAATTTAATTAACTTTTGGGAGGGGGCATTTCTAAAGGGTAGTGTGGATGCTTTAAGCCAAACTGTGAAAAACATTTAGGTTAACATGATTATTCAGTTTTCATAAACTGTTTAACTTGTGGGCTATGGTTTTACTTGTGGATACAGTTTAAATTATTTAATATTCTCACATAGGTCTTGTCAACACTAGAATTAAATCATTGGCAAGTCAACTTGTTGTACAAAACTAATTTAAGGACAAATAATTCAGTGCGTCCACACTAACCATGCTGAATTGGTTTAAGTTTTGGCCCACATTAGCACTGAAAAATATAAATGACAAATGTTCTCTGAATATTTATCCCACAATTCCTGATTCAGTAAATGCAATACATTCTAGGTGTTTTACAAATATTCTCGGAGCTTTAACCAGTTAAATTTTTCTAGTGTAGACCAGGTGATAGGCATTGATTTACAATGTGGGGCAGAATGGACTAAAGAACATTAGAGATAGGTCTTTCTTTCAAGTGAATCTCAAACAATCAATTACCTGTCCAGCCAAGATATAGGAACACAGAACATTCTATGGGACAATTTGATTTCCATTCAAAAAGACAGACACTAAATTCAGGAGAAGATTGAAATTCCTTCTCTATAGACATGCTACTTCATTTTCAACATTTTCACATTTCCCAAAACAAGGAAAGAGAAGTCATTAAGTGCAGTCCCTAATGTGGGTATCTTGTGTAATAATATAATCTAAACCAGGAGGGCTATGATAGAAATTCCAAAAAATCCTTATAATCACCACAGACCTGGAAATCTCTAGAGCTCATCTGGAAGGCCCTGCAAATACTCAGAAATATTTTAAAAGCAAGTTTAAAACAAGAATTCAGTCATGGTTTGAAGACTATAAAAAAAGACACAAACTCTGTCCCCAGGACAGAAAAAAAGTCTACCAGTCACTGCAACAAGGCACCTGAAGATTTTTATAAGACTACTAAAATTAAACTTGCTTAGAAACCTGATTTTCTAAGTACTTTCAGATTAAACTGCCAACGAAAACATAGAAACCCCGTGAATTACAGCTGCTTTTGACACCTGTTAAAAACCAGGGTATGGTTTTGACACTCTGGCCTCAAAAGCAGCTGTAATTCATGGGGTATATACGTTTTCCATGGCAGTTTAACTAGCCTGAAAGCGATCTAATTGGGGCAGGTATTCAAACAGTGGAAGTAGAATCAGAACTCTAAACCATCAAAAAAAGTTAGAAGGAAAGAGTCAAAGCTTCTGCACAATCAATGGGAAAGTCCATGTAAAACAAGCTCTCATACTGGTCAGAAGAGTTACGGATTGGACCTGGCACCCAAATCAATGTCTTATTTCTGATCCGTTTTTATAGCTGTGTTCCTGTTAGAACATCCAGTCATACTGCTGTTCAGTTGTCCTGTATTACACTAAATATATGAAACTGCAAGTAGTTGATGTCATAGTTACTCCTTAGTTTAATTATAGAAAGGTAATCTGTGAAAAAGATAAACATGGTCAAGATTTTTCAGAAGTAACTAGTGAGATTGGGTGCCTCCATTTTTGGGTGCTCAATTGGAGACATCTTAAACGGGCCTTATTTTCTGCAGCTGCATGCTCAGTATTTTCTAAAAATTAGGTCTCTCTAAAAATGCCTCCAGTCGGGTACCCCAAAACTGAGGCAATCACAAATACCAGTCACTTTTGAAAATCTTGGGCATAGCTATTTCAAACACCAGGCTCCATTCTGGAAAACCTGAAGATGCCTATCTATACATCTTGCCTCAAAAGAGTGACCAGCCCCTTTCTTTACAATTGCCTCCTCACAAACAAAACTCTCCAGTGTAGGGAACTTTTTATAGGAACTCTTTCCCAGCACACTTTTCATGATTGCTTTAGGGCTGTCATTACCTCTGTCACATTTAAAGGCCCAGCTGCCATTTGGCGCAGACTGCTGCTTGCCACATCTCCTTTCCTTCTATCTGGTAAGTATGTTTTCCTTTCATCTTATCATTAAAGGAGATAACACACAATGGATAGACTGATGGGGAAAAATATTTTAAAAAATAGATTAGTACCTGGAAGAACTTTAAGCTCTGCTTCATCACTGTATTTGGGCGACCCACCACTTTCAATGACACAGCGATAGAGTCCGCCATCCCCATCTGCAACATTGCTAATGATTAGAGCTCCACTTGGTAATGTGAATACACGGTCATCCAAAAAGAGTGGTTGACGATCCTGCTCCCACCTCACAAATGGTACCAGATCAGCATTAACCTCGCAGTTCAGAATTACGCTGTTTCCTCTATAGACAGATGCTGATTCTGGCTGGCTAGTGAACCTTGGAAGTCCTGGAGAGGAAGGTGAAAAGAGAATGGAAAAATCAAAGTTATGCCAAACTACCACAATTCTGAAGGTCAGACCAGCAATCTGACTTTTAAGCGTGACAAAAGCTGCACTCCATCTTTCTAGAATCAGCAGATATGGATGAGAATAAGAAAAAAAAATTGCTTATTTGAACAACAAGTGAATACAACACAGATTCTACATGGGGCATCATATTAAATATGTTTTAACAGGGGAAAGAAACACCGAGGGCCAAATTGTGAAAGCCTTTATGGGAGAAGGAGGAGACATGCAAAGAAAACTCACCCACTTCTCCCTGTGTGCTCCCTCTCTGTGTCCCTAGGAAGCAAACAGTACCCCAGAAAAAATGGTGAAGCCTAGACCAGTCCCCTCTTGGACATCAAGCTACATATGCTTTGGGCCAAATGATGACATCTAGCCACTGGTCCAAGTAAGCTGTGGTGTAGAATCATATCAGGAACTCAGAGAGGGACTGCACATGGCCCCACTTCCTCTCAGCGTTTTTTTTTTTTTTTTTGAGTGTCATGCACCCCAGGGCTGAGAATAAGGCCTGAAATTATCACAAGACATAATGCATGCCCTGGGGAAAGAGAGGAGGCTCCTGGAATGCTCTTCCCTTCCCAGATCCTAAATTCTGTGAGAGGGCCTATTAAATACAATTATAGGTTGATGAGAGGTTTAAGTGAAGAATTTAAATTCAAAAGTCAGGAAATTTAGAAATGTGCGCTCCCCAATGGCAACATTATCAGTGTTCACTACACAAACGACAAAGATATACATTAACTTCACAATCATTTAGTCATTCAATGTCATTGAAACACAGTAGGAATGTAGTGCATAATTCTCTTATAATAATAGTGTTTGAAAACACTAAACTTGAAATGCGCTGTACTGGTGCACATGAGCAACATGACTAAAGTAGCTTTTGAATTTCTTCATATGCAAGTGTTTACATTTTCAGCCTTAACTTTGCATTTATGTATTTTTGTGCATTTAATTTCCTTGCCTTACAAAAAAGTTATCCCTGGATGCAGCACTATGGCATAACAGCTGTATTTTGCACACTACTGGCTTTAAACTACCATATATACTCGTTTGTTAGCCCATTCGTTTATAAGATGGATAGGTAAAAATAGCAAAAACTGTATGACCCTTTCATAAGCCAACCCTATATTTCAGGGGTTGGCAAACTTTTGGCTCCTGGCCCTTCAGGGTAAGCTGCTACCAGGCCTGGACGTTTTGTTTATCTGGAGCGTTCACAGGCACGGAGCCCCTCAGCTCCCATTGGCTGGGAACGGCGAACCGCGGCCACAGGATGCTGAGGGGCTCCATGCCTGCAGATGCTCCAGGTAAACAAAACGACAATGTATTAGATATTCAATTCAATAATTCCATAGAGTTTAAAAATCATCAAATTTTGGTGTAGACCCGTTTATAAGTCGACCCTGCTCTTTGATGCATCACTTTACCAAAAATATTCAGCTTATGAACAAGTATATACGGTATATCACTTTCTAGATAAACCAGCAAATCTAGCTGAAACATTATAATAAAAATGGATTGCTCTGCAGTCTTCAAAATTTGTTTAAAAGGCCTAACAAAATGCCTAGACAAAAGTTCATTTAGGAAAAGGATGAGATTATTTCCCTTTAAATAAACTAAAAATGTTGAAGTTTAAAAACCCTAAATTCTCATAAATCAGGAAGTTTACTTCAAGTTCCAACACCAATTTATTCTTCGTCTCTTCTCCAACCCCCACCCAAATTTAAATTTTCCAGTAGAGGCCACAAACCCTGAGGAAATTACATACCAGTTTGGAAACCCAGCCCTCCCACTGGATACTGACCAGAAACCCATGCTTCAAGTATGAGATCATCTTACTTTCTACAAATGTGACAGAGAAATAATCCTACCCTCTGTTCATAACACCACATGAGCTGGGGCTCACACCATATCTTCTAAAACAGGTAGGGCTTTGCTGATATTACTAATATTGGTCAGAAATCCAGATAGAGGTTAGTGATAAAATTGTACTCCATGTATCCTACTCATTCAGTTTAGACATCATGATAACCCATCTACCCTTACAAGGTAAGACTAAATTCTGTACACAGTATAACCTAGAAGAGTGAATGCTGGTTGTAGCATATGACTCAATACCACATTCTTGTAATTCATATATGCAACGGGTAGATTTGTTTCTTCCATGTGGCAACTCATGTATGTTTCCCACTAGTAAGCAGAGACTAAATGGCTGTATAGGAGCAGAATTAAGGTTGGTGTCAGAATTTTAATTGATAATTTCCTGACTTTCAAGCATCTGGGTTTTTTTTTCAAATAAGTTACAAAGTATTTTCTACTTTGCATTCACCGCTGGCAAGTTAAAAGTTTTCTATGAAAATATTTTTTGCAAAATATTTTAATGAACTTACTAGAAGCAAAGACAATTGAGTTTTCCCAAAGTAGATGAAGTACAATATCAGCCCTGCATTTCTATGAGTTCCAGAATGATCTGAAAAATCTCAGTGGAAATAAAATCAAGAGAACACTAGTACATATCTAAAGGCAGAAAAGTAATTTAATTTACTACACACCTAGATCAGATTTGCACCATAATTCACAAGTCACCGTAAGAGTCTTCTATAACAAGCCAGAAGTCAATTGATCAACAATATCAGTCAAATGACACCCTCATGCTACTTCCTCACATATGCAGCAAGCAAAGCATTTTGACTATAAAAGTCCCAGTGAAGCCAATTATCACTGGGTAGAAGTATTTGCTAGCCAGAATAAAATGTATGCAAACATTCTTACAGCAGAGTTGTTATAACACAGTATAATAGAATTCAACATAAATATTAAACCAGCCTTTTAAATTAGTGTTGAAAAGTCTAAAACAAAAAGATATGCAACGGTCTAAATCGTGAAAGTCTCAACTACAATAATGTTCAGCATAGTGTGCTGAATTTCTGTATTCCCGACCAAAATCCTAAGTGAAATGTTCACATTTCAAGGTATTTACAACCTTAAGATATATTACACTGGTCTACAATTTTTGAGAAGTTGTCTGCTTCAGAGATAA